CGGGGGCCTTGGCGCCCGGGAACCACAGCGGTCGGTCTGAAGAGGCTGAGCCTCTTGATGCAGCCTTCTTCGGCGCGGCTTTCTTGCGGCCGAACCCGAACCGTGCCTGGATTTTGCCGGCGACGCTGCTGTTGCTGGAACTGCTGTTTGACGTGACGGCGCCGTTGAGCCTGGTGCCCAGAAAACCACAGGTCGTTGCTGCTGCGGTTGCCATCTATAATAATCTCAGCAGAGATTGATATAGCTAAGGTTAATGTGATTGTGCTGCAATAGGGACTCAAAAGGCTGTGTGTGGGATTAATATTGGCTTAGGTTTGAGCAATGTGGGGTCTGAATATCTCCTTATGATTTCGAACCAATGGCATTGAGATTGTTGACACACGTTGGCATTTGCCTTATCCTCATCACAGCCTTATCTCTATCTCCATCCATCCTTGTATTTTACATATAATTTTCTGGCCAGAACTCGTTATGGCCTGCGGAGAGAGATTGAATCCTTTCATGCTGTCCACAGAAAAGAAAAAAGATTCTTCTTTTTTTTGGGGGGGTGGATAAATTACAATCTGGTACCCTAAGGTATGGAGTATATACAAGGATGACCGTGTAGTTTGCATATCTATGTGGGTAACCATGAAGTTACTCGTTGCAGTTGCACCGATAATTCGAGGAGTTGTTTGTAGTTTGGGCTCTAGGGTCACCCTCGTAGTTACAATTAGTAATTTCAAAGCAGCTATGTAGATCTCTAGGATCACCTGTGTAATTATATCACGCGTTAGAGTACGATATTATAATTAATCTTTCTTTTTTTCAGAGTTTCACTCGTGATCACTACCTTTGCTTTTTTTTTTTTACTGTTATACCCTCAATGGGCTCACTGATTTCACCCTCAACCCAAAAAAAAGCATTTTTTTTTTCCAGAGTCTCAAAGCACAGGGACCCTCTGAAGTATCGAACTTTGAAACCATCCGTATGGTTTGATATTGACAGCTAAAGCCCCTGGGTGAAGCTTTGACAGATATTTTATTTGGGCGAAATTAGTATGTCTACCTGAGGGTTAAAGAGTATCATAAAAAAAATCATTCAGGTGATTTATATACCAAAATCAAGCCACAAAGGTAATAGGTTCCAATGCACAATACTGATTAACTCTTGATAAATATCTGTGTAACTGTGGGGTAGAGAATTCCTACGGGTCGGTTTCAGGAATTGACTTGAGATTTTTTTTGGACGCCGTACAACTTGTATTTCTGTTTATTTGGTCACAGTTGGTCTATCCAACTTCCTACCTATAAATGGACTTCAGATCATGTTTATTGGCTGCTAATTGAATAATGCACAGAAACTTCAATGCTGAGGAGAAGGTTGTGAGGGCTATAATTTTATACTCTTTAACAGTTTCTTCCTAGTTATAGTCGGCATACCCTTGTCAATAAACAGAACACATCCAAGGTAAATGTGAAATCCGAAAACCGGCAAATAATGCAGTGAGGGAGAATTTGATGCACATGTAACATGAGATTTCGCGAGCGACCAAGCAAGTTATAGGTTACCTGGTAGAAGGAAAGAACATGTTGCGCGATTAACGCTTTAACAGATCAAGGAACCTGCAACGCGATAAAGTTAGAACGGAGTTCACATTCCACAGAGTCTATCTGCCGTAATGAAAACACATGGATAGTAAGTTCAAAACAACAATATTACCGGAGGTCTATGTGCAATCGACAACTCTATAACACGATCCTGCCTTCATAGCTCATGGAACTTTTGTTTGGCTCTCTTGCGGCGCATGCAAGTAAAAGTTGCCCTATGAAAATCAAGAAGTAGGATGCTGAGTAGGAAATCCTTGATACGGAAGAAGAAAGTATAAATCCCTGCATTCATAAACCATCAGCCATTTTTATACATTTATCATGCCAAATATATAAACACACCTATGTCAAGGTCGTATACATGCAACATCAGTGGCCATTTATTAAAAGCCGACTTAAACAAACATGACAATGTTACAATAATTACTAGTAAAGATAAGACTTCATTTAGAACCATACAAAAGCACTACATAATGTTCATCCCGATTGAACGCTGTTAAATTAATTAAAACTTAATTTCCTTTTAAATAGGATCTCTTGTTCATCGAAATATGTCGTTTCTTTCTGAGCATCTCAACAAACTTTCAACTTCCCGGCACATATAAATACTTTGTTTACCAACCCGCTTCAAGTTCCTCTTCCAAACCTCTCCCAAACAAAAAAATGTCAGCTCTCCCATTCTTGTCAGTAGCCTCCACGGTTGAACCAAGCAAAATTAGCTGAATTATATTACTTCAAGTCTTTATTACAGTATATCCAACAGGATTTTCTGGAATCTAATTATTCCAGCAGCTCCACCATAACACAGCCATCTCTCACTGCCTAACTAATGTTCCACCTTACTTTGTTCATCGCCACATCTTTGGGTGGTCCTTCGATCTTTTGTGCTTATCCTTCTTCATTGTCCTACAAACTGTGCAGATAAAAATAAGAAAGAAATTCCACCATGAATGATGTTGGGTTATTTGCACTTAAATAACCCCAAAGTTCACCTCAATTTAACTTTTATACCTTAAACTTTCTTTTTGTCCGAAATAGACCAAGTTCAACAAAATTTAACTTCAACATCCGTAGTTTTCTTTTGCCCAGATAATACACCAAAGTTCAACAATAATTAACTTTATGACCCAAACTAAAAGGTTTTGTTAACTTTCTGTTTGTTTGCGGTATTGAAGTAAATTTTCTGTTAATGTTTGGGGTATTAAAGTTAAATTTTGTCAAATTATGGGGTATTTTTCTAGCAAAACAAAACTTGGTGTTATGAAAGTTAAAAATGGGGTAAATTTTTTTTGGGAGGGGGAAAAAACTTTGGAGTGTCAAAAGTTAAATGGGGTAAAATGGAGTAAAACTTTTGGTAATTTAGGTGCAAATAACCCAATGATATTTGACAAGAGAAAATGAACTTCTCAAGTACCTCCTCTTTGCTTGATTCGGATCAGAAAGAAAACTTAAAGAGCAGCATCTCCCCATAGCAGTTGGGGCTTTCTTCAATGGCACGTTTGGCATGGGATCTTTAGACTGCTGAGTTCTGATCTGCAAAATCCTATCATCACTGGTGACTGAGGGCCGTTTGGATGGACGTAACTATTAGAAGTAAGAAGTGGATCAAAAATGTAACTTCCTCAATTATGAAGTAGAAAGTAGCGGAAATAGTACTTATTTTGTTTGTTTCATATATTTTTAGAAGTAGCGGAAATAGTACTTCATCATCTTCTTTTATTTATTTGTTTGTTTGAATAGAAATTGGATATATTATTTAAAATCATCTGCTCTTAGTAAATCTCTAATTTAAGTGGACCCCACTTTTTTTCCACTTCCCCTCTACTTCTGAGCTTTCAAGGGCGGAAAAAAAATCTAGAAAGTAGGAGTGTCACCTAGACGTCACATCTGTATTTATGTAAGTAGCTGAAATAGTCTTTTCGGAGAAACAAACATAATTTTTTGCTTAAAGTAGGAGAAACTTCATCTACTTCGGTTACTTCTTTGCTACTTTCGTGCAAACAAAGAGACCCTGAACCACGAAGGAAATGGGGCCGACGGTATCGACTCGAGTTTTTTTCAACAGCATTGGCAGTTAGCTAAACAGTTAAGTATCATAATTAGTACATAGTTCAAGATAGTGAAGTAGAGACACCATCACGACACCATCACGACAATTAGTATCCTAATAAGATATTTCCGGGTATCTTGGTAGTTGATACCTTGAAGAATCGGGCAGCGCCATCTGCAGTATAATAAGCAGCAAGGACCTGAACATAAATCGGAAGAATACATCAAATATGTTTCTCTTTAAAGAATACAGCAAAGACCTGAACACAAAATTGCATTTCGCATATTCTTCTCAATTAATTACTACAAAGAAGACAGTGATAAAAGCAAGGAAAAATAAACGAAGTGGAACAAAAATATAACAAGAATATCTAACTACAAATATTCTTCTCTAACAAACAGAATAATTTTCTAGCTAACTATTTGGAAAATATGACCATGCTAGGCCTGCGCTTATCTAAGTATCCTAATATAACCCACTTCCTTCATCCAGAATTTATGTTGTGGAAGAGTGAGGCCATTCCAAGCCATAGATGAAGCTATGCTAAGTTGCTAACTACTCCATGCATATATTTTAAACTATAAAAGACATATTTGATTTGTACATTATTAATAAATTATATTAATCTACAGACCGTTAGTAGGATAACCAGATAAGATGATCATGAGATGATTAAACTGGTCTTAGATACATACAACATTTGATTATTACCATACTCAGTCTTGAAATGGATCAGTCATGATAAAGATTAATTCTATCACTTATTTTATCCTATATATATATATATATATATATATATATATAGGATAAAATAAGTGATAGAATTAATCTTTATCATGACTGATCCATTTCAAGACTGAGTATGGTAATAATCAAATGTTGTATGTATCTAAGACCAGTTTAATCATCTCATGATCATCTTATCTGGTTATCCTACTAACGGTCTGTAGATTAATATAATTTATTAATAATGTACAAATCAAATATGTCTTTTATAGTTTAAAATATATGCATGGAGTAGTTAGGACATCGTTTATCACTTTCCACAAGCTAAGCATCTTCAAAGTTCCGTCATCAAGTGACATGACGAGGAATCTATGGAAGTAGCCAAAATCACATGTAAGATAAAACCCGAAATGGTACTTTATATCCAAGATCAATCAACAAAATACAATACTTATTAGATTAGTATTACATGTCAAGTGCAGATCTTTCTTATTCATCTGTTTGTCCGTTTAGGGTATGTATTTTAATTAACATTTTGGCCTTTGAAGCATTGATAGTCTTCTAGTAATTCTATGTAATTTTTCCTTACACAATGAACAGTCTACAATCACACAGATATTTAGAAGCACTTCATAACTATCCTACTTGGACTTACTTTGGCTTAGTACGTAAAATGCTTCCTCTTCAACTCAACTGATGGAGGAGTCACTTCAAGTTACTTAACAGTCAGTCTATATTATATATTAATTCCTACTCACAAGTTTACTTAAGTGAGGTTTCTTATTCCATTTTTGTTCTATTATTCTAAATTCTTTAGGGTGTGTTTGGCAAAGTGAACAAAACTGGGCCAGGACCAACTTTGTACTAAAGCAGTTTTCTTTTGGACCAACCCCATGGTCCAAAAGAAAACTAGTTTAGTGACACCATTTAGGCTAAAACAATTGGGTCAGCTCTAACCTCAAAATTTGACAAACAAGAAACAAGTTAAAATTGGGCCAGGTCCAGTCCTGGCCCAATTTTAACTTGTTGCCATACACACCCTTAGAATCCGAAACTTCTCTCCATCTATCTAGTTGACTTCTCTCTTCAAAGGAATCTATGATAATAGAGTAATCTTCATTGAAATAGGTCTCTATTTCATAGTCAGGCTTGGAAGAAAGATCATCACCAGGCATAACCACTAAGAAACCTGCAGCGTAAGGGACATGAACTTGATCAATCAGAACAGTCTCAGTATCCTTATACTTTTCTTAGGTTTGAGTGCAGTGAGATAGTTAGGATAACAATGCTTACGATGTCTGAGCGTTCTCTCCGCTACTCCCATTAACTAAAATATATCATCACCAAACAACATGCGCCATAGGGTTTCATCTGAATAAGCCTAGTGAGTTCATTATAATTCATGCAAAGAGATATAGGGCACGTTTTAAGAAATGCCTGCCATTTATTTGATGAGTGTCTATACTCTGACATTCCTCCAATTTACTGCAAAATACAAGGTCAGAGCATCTGCTAACTGTATACGTCAAAATTGACTACATTACGGTGCTTGGATGATATAAGGATATATAACTAAAAGTTGCCTTTCAGAAGTTAACATAACTCATAGCTTATATGTCTAAATTGACTACATTACGGTGCTTGGATGTAAGGATATACGACTAAAAGTTGCTTTTCAGAATTTAACATAAATCATAGCTCCCACTATTCTTTCCCAAAGGATCCATGTAAAATTGCACACGTGGACTGATGAAGCAACAATTGAAAATGAAAGCACAGAGAAATGCATTTCACACCTTCCACATGAGAGAGATGTTACCTGGGATCGTTTAACCACGCCAGAGTGAGTATAAATCTTTGCACAGGGTAAAACTCCCACAAAGATCGATATGGATCCCTGAGAAATACAAAAAGATGCATCTCAAGGAGTTTGCATAGAGGCAGAAAATCAGAAAGAGAACAATAAGCAGTAACGTGACGGGTCTAACATGTCTTCGATATTTTGCATGGTAAATTAGACATCCCACTGACAGTAACAATGCTTCATTGGCTTATTCAGTCATATATTTTAAATTTGATTTTATGATACAAGAAAGTATATGTTACTCAAAAAGAGGCCCTACTCAAATTTTAAGAAATCTAATCATATAACCTCCACTCCATGCAATCATCATTGCTCAAAATGCCCGATTGCATTTACCCCATAGTTGCATAGAATCCGGTTCATTGTGGTTCTGGAAAGGGAATGGAAGCATGGTTCGCCACTATTTTGGAATCAGGTACGAGGGGGTAGGTTTATATGGTATGGAAGTGAATAGGGTACACTTTAGTTTCGGTTTTCAAATATAGGAATCCAAGTGCCTTAATTTAAAATTTTCTACAAGAGTAAAATTCGGTAATCAGTAATCATAAAAGAATTTCCAAGTTATGATTAAGGTAAAAAAAATTATGTTTATTTTGCAGAAATTGGTTGTTTGTTGTTCAAAATATTAACTAATTTGAATTCTAAATTGGGTCTCCGGGTATGCGAACCAATTCACTAGTGCACTACATTCGGGGACGATTGAACCCAGGTCAGTTCGCTATAATGTCCCACATACATTCCCAACATCTATGATTTACCCTTAAAGAGAAATAATGAATATTTTCCTAGTATTATAACTTGTGAATGGATGTTCTAAAAGATGGCTATGCCCGCATACTGGTTTAGTCATACCTTCTGATCAAAATGCTTAGTACACAGAAAAATCGGACGACTTACTTTGTTTCTGTTGATCAACATGCTCCGTGGTTCCATAAATAAACTACCACGTGTTTTATTGACCTATCCCACATTCATAAAGCGCTCGGAAATTTAATATTCTTTCAACAATACAATTAGAAATGTCATGATCCATGCACAAGGTCTCAAAAGATATGATATTGTATTTTTTAGATGTTTTAGAAGGTTGTAGTTTATGATGAATGAAAAATTTTCTGCTTGAACAGTAGTACCAGTTGGATATCTTAGATCTTATATCTCAATAGTACCAATTGATAATATGCTAAATAAATTAGACAGTATAATCTTATATATTGCATGCAAAACTCATATTTTTGTCATGATCATGTCAGCTGTCCACTGCAGTTAATTTGCTAATTTATCATGATTAGAAGTTACAATCTTTTTCATGGATTTTTAATATAATTGTAACTTTTACATACTTGTTTAATTTACACATTGAGGGTAACTATGCATGCATGACCAAATACTGCTAGCATTAGGTCAAACTCTGCATCGATAAGAAACAATTCCATAAAATATAATGGCTCGAGTCTTCATATCCCAATCAAAGGGCCTTTCCTAGATCCACAATGAAGAAACTAGATGTGAAAACATACCATATGTCCTAAAATTTTAGACCTTTGTGTCCAGCAGTCACCACTAAATTTGCACTCTCTGCATCAATGCATAAATGTTGTGTGATGTTAGATTGAATAAAGTATAAATATGGATTTCCATTTGCGATGAACGGTGACATAAATCTTCTTACAAAATAGGAGTACATTTCTTGACACTTTTCCAAATAAGTAATGTTAAGTAGAACTCAGTATGGATGGATGTTGATTATATTCCAAAAAATAATGCTAAAATAATAGTACAGTTCAAGAACAGAGGTCAATTGATGAGCTAATGAACTGCATTCGTGGAAGTAAGCTCAACATAATAATCAACCAAGTGTAAGCAGTGATAATATGAATCCTTAATATATATCATACACCATTCTTCTCAGTCAAGTCCATACTGTTAGTTTTAAGAGTTCCAGGTAAATCTAATACTTCTTATCCCAATGCACATTATGGTGATGAGAGAAGCTAAATAAGACCACAGAATTATATCAGTCATTTTCTAGAAGTGCTATTTTGGCTTCATATTGAACATGTCAGCGTTGAAGCTTTTAACTAGGAAAACCACTTGTTTTTAACATGATACTCAACCTTAAAATCATAGTTCTGAACTGGGCATGGACTAAAACCAAACCGACTTATGTCCAACGAGTTTTAGGAAGTGGACGTGTGGGATAGATGTCCATGAAGTGTATAAGAAGTGTTTTAATTTAAAACACACATTATATAATTGAGTACATGTATGAATAGATGCATGAAGGAGTGACAGTGTCCGATACGGTTACAATACGTGTTGGGAATAGGTGCGTCTTCATGATAGAAATACCTACATAGCATAGATATGAATAAATGTTCACAATTAATGAGGTTTTCACTTTGCAGTAAGTTATGACTAAAGCTTTTATGTCATACATTATTCAGCATTAAACAATAAACGCACCTCAACCTTACGTGTAATTTGAACCAATACTGGTAAAAAAAGCTAAAAATATAAAAAGAATAAATTGAATTCACATAGATAAATTATCTATTAAAGTTCTGACTTTGTTCAATTTACATACTACTATTAATATATTCTGAGATATTATTTGGTAACTATTGTTAAGGTGATTAATATGTGAGTATAGTCTCATATCGGATAAGATAAGAAAGAGTGATGAGTTTAAATAAGAGTTTGGGTCAATACCTAATAGCTATAGCTTTTGGGTTAAAATTGATTCCTAACTTCTGTTTAAGGCCTATCGACTCTAGATTGGGCCCGATTCCCCACCCAACAGTGGTATCAGAGCTAAGGTCATGATCCAAGTAATTAAAAAAACAGATGATCTTCGATGTGAAGACCGAATGTGTCGGGAGAATCCACGGATGCCCGTATGAGTGATATAGTCTAGTTAGCCACCATGAGTGAAGTGGTGGAAGTTCCTATGGATGTTTGATAGATATGTGCTGAATACATTGTTTGGTTAGCCCACAAGTGGAGTAGTGTAAAAGTTTGTGAATTGGTTAGCCCACGAGTGAAGTGATGTAAAAACTTAGTGAATTCCGTGGAAGATTGAATCATAGTGAAATTGAAATATACTCACAAATTAAGAGAGAGTTGTTGAGGTGATTAATATGTGAGTATAGTCCCGCATCGGATAAGATAAGAAAGAGTGACGAGTTTAAATAGGAGTTTGGGTCAATATTAGATAGCTATAGCTTTTGGGTTGAAATTAATTCTGAACTTCTGTTTAAGGCCCATCGACTCTAGATTAGGCCCGATTTCTCCCCCAACAACTATTGCTAAACGTTCTATCTCATGTTGTATCATATACAATTTGACGTACTATATCAACTGATATTCTAACAATTTATTTTTAAGAAAAGAAAATAAAAAGAACCGGTAATTTTTAGTCAACTTTTTCCTATTATTTTAGAACAAATGGGAAAAAAGCCAATTTTATATTAAGTTTTGAAGTATTTCTAACCTTTTAAATAATCACTACGCATCAGTACAACTATCCCCTTTATATTTTACAGAATTTTACAAATATATAGCAGAATCTCAGATGGGTTTTTACTATAACCATCAAATTTAATGAATTACGACAAATTTGGGAAAGGAAAAGGGAAATTGGAGGAAAACCTCTTGGACTCGAGAATCGAGCTGGCAGTGACGCGATCGGAGACCTTATCGAGGGCTTCGCTTTGTAGTTGTAGGTTGTGGGTCTTTGGAATCAACCACTCTATCGGCCGCAGTTTCATCTCCTGCCTCTTTTTTTTTTTTTTTTTTTTTTTTTTTACCCCTCTGTTCTAATCTTTCTCTCGCTCTATTTTATTTTTATTTGTACGGGCCTTTAAATGGGCCGGGTTTCACGTGAGAGATATTTTATTTAGACAGGTTTGGATTTAGTTTAGGTTTATTTGCGCTTAAGATGCCCCGAAGTTTACCTTTTTTTTTATTCTACGTAAATTTGATACCCCAAAGATTATCTTTTTGCCCTAAAAACACAACGTTTTTAAAAAAAAATGACTTTGGTAAAGTCAAAGTTTGTTTCTACCCAAAAAATAACCTAGAGTTCAACAATTTGATACTCAAAATTAAGAGGTAAGGTTTGGGGTATCTTTTGGGCAAATAAATAAATAAATAAATATTGGTTATCTAAAGTTAAACAAGAGGTAAACTTTGTGGTATTTAAGCGTAAATAACCCTATATTTATAGGTAATTCTTGAAAGTTTAGTTGACCCAAATAAATGTAAGTCACAGATAACCTCTTTCGTACTTAACCGTTATCAATACTTATCATCCACAATTTACGAGCAAGAGATGGTTATTGCAACTTCCTTCTCAAAATATCAATCTCGCATGCAACTGAAACAATGCAACTATTTAATTAAATTTTCAAATTTTACAACTAGAAGCGGTTGCGCCTGCAGTTATAGCTAGTTAAACTAGCGCTGCAGGTAGATGATGTAAATTGAGCTGCTTAAAGCATTTATCAGGTAGATCTCCGGAAATATTAAAGGCATAGCTCATCCAGTAGTTTTCCAGAAGATATCCATATTGCTAGCAGCAGGTTAAGTACAAACTCATCCCCAGTCAAAAGCTGGTTGTTTTCCTCGCTCAAAGTTGTCCCTGCGTATGCACCGCTATAATCGAAACCTCCCAGTCCTGTAATTTTGCTGTCAATCCGCAAAAACCTTCATACTGATATAATCCTTCAAGAAAGACGGTGCGGATATATACATACATCTCAAGCATCAACAAATTTCATGAAGAAGAGAAGGTTATATGCCAAACCAACAAAAACAAACGCATAACAGAACAAAAGAGTGAGAAATCGGAGCAAGAGGTTATCAGAAGCGTGTAAGTAATGTTAACCAGTGCACAAGCGTCGACGCTGGAGTTTAAAACCAGAAACAGAAACTAAAGACTTCCAGTATGTAGAATTTTGCCGCTTGGGCAGTGAACAAGCATTGCAGTATGATAGAGCACATTATGACAATATAATCACATATAAGAATTTCCAGTATAATAACCGACCCAAGTCCATAATCGAAGGTAAAAAAAAATGTTGTTACCGCCATCCTCTACTAACATCAATATAAGTGCAATACATCATTTCAATATGTTCAAATGGCTTGAAAGGATGCGATATTAGGACTATGCCAAAACAAACTAAGAGACAAATGGTTATGCAGACAAATGACAAACAAATAACATGATCCACAGAATACACACAAGGTTATTACCTACCACAAACATCAAAGAAAAGACCCAAAATGATGAATTGAATTTTCAGCTGCTACAAACCAAATATCACTAATGTGATGCTATTCTCACTATATGTTGGTCAAATTTTACCTCACTTCTCAAACCCATATCAACCGGAAAAGGAAAAAAAAAGCCACTATAATGTTCGGATCTTTTCTGATTTCTACATAATTTTCGCTGGAACCAACAGCGTCATGACACTAAAAGGGCTTTACCTACTAAAACCTGCATAGCCTTTGTCCGAGAAGATGAACTATGTACCATTAATACACAGCACCAAGATGCATTCCGCTTTTCCCATAGTTTCAGAGTCCAAACAGTACACTCCAGTAAAAGACAAACCTAACTAACATCATATACTTCCCCAGAATATGATGCCTTCATAAAAGCTTAACAAGGTGCAGGACTAACTAAAGGTGCAGTACTACAACCACACTTCAAAACTACGTTGTGTTAGGGTTCGTCGAACAATAAATTATCATGTTTTGAAGTGTTACCACCTAACAAAACTGCTGAGCCACTTAATAGCATCAAGTGATCACCATATTACAAAAAAGAAATATGAGAGCTAGCAATTCTCTCAAATCATGAGACTTCAAAATGCTAGAGTTTGGATTTTCCCATCCTCTAGTCAATCTCAAGCTCTTGAATAAATAAGAAGCATAAAAGATGCTACTTTCACATTATGGCTACAAAAACACAATAGCTAGTTACTAACAAAGTGTCCATACCAAACATAAGATTTACGATTGCTGCGCTATATTATCTCATTGACAAATTACCTTCTACTTTATCTGATAATAAACACTCACGTTATCCTAAACTCCCTAATCGTATCTCTATCTGGACTAATCACACCATTTATATTATACTCGCCTTGAAAGGAAGGGACTTTTAAACAGTTTAATATCACGAAGACAAAATTATTGACCTAAGATGGCATGTCTCACCGGTCTAACTTATTGAATTCATTTTTTAGTAGTCTAAAAGTGTAAACATGATTGACACACCCAACGACCATCAACTGATTCTCTTTCAATCAAATATAAGACATGCTAAATCAGTGCACAATCAGTTAAAAATAATAAGAAAATAAATAGTACCATACACACAATAGTTTATTAAAAACATTTTCTCAGCAAGAGGGCAATCAAATATTAAGCTTCTACACTATTTGTAAACATATAATCAAGTTCAAGGTCTATCTGAATCAGGGGACAACTCAAATATTAAGAGAAACTAGTAAGTTATAATCATGCTGCAACAATGAAGAAGATTTTATTATACCACAAGATGAACAAGCCATTATGCCATTTGAAACGGAAAGAACAAAGAAGAAGCATGATATAGTGCCAACAAAAAAGCAAAAAGATATGACATACTTAAAGGATCAAGTATCCAAATTATAAATAAATGTTTATGCTGCTAGGAGCAAGCATTTTTAAAACCTTTTCTTTTAAACCATACAAGCATTTTTTAAGACTTAAAACTATTAAAATGTTTCACCTCAATCGGATTTTATTTCTTCAGCTCAGTTCATTCAGATCGACTAGCGAACCTCTCGACGTTCGCATCATTGAGATTGATCCCAACCATAGCCTCCCCAAGTCCACAGCTCACCCCCGCAAGAACGTCAGGATCACTATAATTCGTCACCGCCTGCACAATCGCCCTAGCTCTCCTCGCCGGATCCCCGCTCTTAAAAATCCCCGACCCCACGAAAACCCCGTCACACCCGAGCTGCATCATGAGCGCGGCATCAGCCGGCGTAGCAATTCCCCCGCAGCAAAGTGCACGACGGGCAACCTCCCGAGCATGCTTCGTCTGCATAACCAAATCGTAAGGCGCCAGCAATGCGCTTGGCGAAGGAAAAGACCTCGTCGTCGTCCATGTTCCGAAGCGCGCCGGATGTCACCCATCACCGACCTGACATGCGCGGACCGCCTCGACCACATTCCCGGTCCCCGCCTCCCCTTTCGTCCTGATCATGGCGGCCCCTTCTCGAATCCTAAACAATCAACAACCAACATACATTTGAACAGGCAGTTTCGGCCGGCAAACGAATAGAATTCAACCAAAAACAAATCCCTACGTCATTCATTCATACCTACGGGAGGCCTCACCGAGGTTGCGGCAGCCGCAGACAAAAGGGGACGCGGAAGATTATGTTTGTTTATGTGATGGTCGTCGTCGGCGGGGGTGAGGACCTCGCTCTCGTCGACGTAATCGACGCCGATGGCTTCGAGGATCTGGGCCTCGACGAAGTGGCCGATGCGGGCCTTGGCCATGACGGGAATGGTGACGGCCCGCTTGATCTCCTTGATGAGGCCGGGTCGCTCATGCGGGCGACGCCGCCCTGGGCGCGGATGTCGGCGGGGACGCGCCCGAGGGCCATGACCGCGACCGCGCCGGCCTCCTCGGCAGGCGGGCTGCCTCGGGGGTGACGACGTCCATGATGACGCCGGCGCGGAGCATCTGGGCGAGGCCGACCTTGACGGAGAAGGTCGAGGATTTCTTGGGATCGCGAGAGGTCGTTGTGGCCGTAGACCGCTGACGATGCTGCTTTCGGATGCCATCTCGCCGCCGCCGCCGCCGCAGTCGAGTGGGAAGGGGGTGGGGGGGTTTATAATGGGTTGGCGGGGGATAAGGAACGAACCCTAGCCTTAGCAAAGATTGCGGCGGATACGGGACGGAGACGTGGAGAGAGAAGCGACGCAATCTGACGGTTCGGCATGGATGGGATATACCTTCAATATTATCGTACTAGTCCCTCAAGTTATTTTAATTGCTATCGGGTCCCCCAATTTTCATACACCGCTTTAAGGTTTTATATATTTGCACATTAGCCTAACGAAGTTAATTTACGAATACATGGAGGAGAGGGACGAGGGAGAGTAAATTAACAAGTATCTCCTCTTTACCGCTCTCTCCCCCCTCGTCCGTCGATTGATGGTAACTGAATCAAAGACGTGTTGATGACTTTGAAGGAAAAGCAGACGGGCGATTCGGTGGAAGGATTAGCAAGTATCTAAATCAGAAGGCAAGCTTTGCGAATACGATTAGGATAGGAGGATATAGATGCAAAATGCCCAAATTTAGAGCTTACTGCGGCCTCCGCACACAATCAAAGCTTCACTAGCTGCATGACTGACATCCACATGATCCGCTAATGGATTCTATGAAAGTAAAATCAAACTTTAACAGCAAGAATTCCACGATGTAAAAAGCTAATCAAAACGATGACATCTCATTCGTTATTTATCTTTCTCCACATTGAAATTAAGCTGGTACATGAAGTTCTAGCAGGAACCGCAGGCGTACGGTTCCTAAACTAACCCGAAGCTCCTCAGGCTCGAAAAACTCCTGTGATATTTCACATACAAGAACCGCTGCTACATCAGAGGATACAAGATGAATCATTATTTGTTGTTCTTAGTATTGTTTTCCGGAGGCATGGAAACGAATCGAACAATGCTCTCCACATGAGCAGCATCAATTCTAAATTCTTTAGCAATATCAGGAATCGTCATCGGACCTTGATGCTGCTCAGATTTGCCCTGATGCAGAAGGATGATCTGCTGCAGTTGTACGGCAGTTAGGGTTCCTGGAGGGCCTGATTTTTGGTCATCGCCGCTGATTTCAGCTTTTGAACTGCGAAGCTTTGGCAGGGGTCTATTATACTTTTCAACAACATAAGCCTGCAATAAAACCAAAGAAACAATATGGATTAATCTAATTAACCCATCACAGGGTTGTTTCAGTATTAGTCCCTTAAAGAATTATTCTGTCTTAAATTAGTCCCTCGAAAACATTGAGAGTGATTAGTTCCCCCATTCTTATATCTTGCCAGTGCTACTCTTGATTGGAGGAATTAGCTTAAAATAACTTATAAGAATTCGGAGAGCTAATAGCAATTTCAATGATCTTGAGGGACTAACTTGCGGTAATGACTATACTATAACATCAAGACATAGCGACATCTACAACTCTAAATAAGCACAAGCTATAATTTTATTTATATCCTTACCTCGCCCATTTCCAGTTTCCCCCCTGGTTTTGTCGTAATTTTACCCACCATCTTGCTAAGCATGGCATCATATCTCGGATCACGTTCATCGAGGACATTCTCTTTTTTCGTTATCCGTATGCTCTCTGGACAAGTATAAAATGTAGGCACCGTCAATAATGATTAACACCACTAGCAATACGAGATTCGAAGCTTATTGTTAAAAAAGTTTATGATAGACTAAATCTAAAGTAGCTTTTAGGACAAAATAGACGTCGATGGGAAAAGAAATGTTAAATAATCAATTAAAGTAGCACATAGGTCCTTTAACCTAAGAAACCATAAAAAATTTGGAAGAGGAAAAAGTATGTTTATCTTCGCTTAAAAATGTGTCTTCAAGTTTTAAGATGTTGCAGAATTAAATGAGATATATTACATTAATACACGATCTTTTAAACACTCATCACTCTCATTCATGGAAGATTGCCAGAAATATGACCCAAAAATTGACCATGAATAAAGTTATGCCCTCAGGTGAGGATATTGGAGAAAAGTATAATATCAATAAATCAAGACATTTAAGAAATCTGGCGTGCAGATGTTTCAGATAAACAAAATGTGTCATGCTTGCACCAAATTTTCTAGACAGAAAAACATGCCACAGAAACCACTTGAGAGTCGATAAAAATAACCGAGTTGAAGATAGACAGATAGCTAATCCTACTTAATTGGTCATATGTCAGTAGGTCAGTAAGATATTTGTAAGTTTGAAGAACTCCAGTTATAACAGTCCATCTTTTCAAAGAAGCTATCACCTCAATATAACTGAGATTACTGATAATTAGGTTAGGTCAAAAGCTTTCATGAGATAGATTGACTACGGTTGAGTTAACACCTTTCATGAGGTAGATTGATCTACATCCCTCTGTTTGCTATAAGCATAAGTAACTTTCAACTTCAAATACACAAATTTATTTTATTAAAAAAACTTCTGCTGTCCTGTATCCTTAGATTTGCGGTAATCAAGGATAGAGACTATGGCCCATGTCAAACATCCTAGCCCTTTATAATATACAGATATTATTCATTAGTTAAGCTTCTACAAGTTAGATGATTTAGCGTAGTCGTGACACAGCAATTGCCTATATTGCCTACTATAGAAGAGATTACTGACAATTAGGTTAGGTCAAAAGCTTTCATGAGATAGATCGACTACAGTTGAGTTAACTGCTTTCATGAGGAGTTATAAGCATAAGTAACTTTCAACTGCAAATAAACAAATTTATTTTAGGGAAAATTGTTTCCAGCCCCCAAAACAACCCAAAACATGCTCTGCCCCCCCAAGACCTTTTCAACGTTCCTTTTACCCCCAAAACCGCCCCCGATTTTCTTCCAGCCCCCAAAACCAATCCCCAGGCGTAACGCCGTTTAAACCCCGCTCGAAATGCCCAAAATACCCTTACGTTTAAAATTCCCCGTTATGAGTTACCTCCTCGTCCGTACCCTGTCATCTCTCTCTTCTGCAAGCAAACCGACTCCAGAAACCCAATTCAAAACCCTAGCCCTAAATCAACCGACCCCAACTCAAACCGAATCAAAGCAAAGGGATCAAAATGGCCGGCGATTCAACCCAATTACAATTGACTCAAAGTCATTCAGAATTAAGCTGTCACCGTATTCAGGCTCGCTGTCCGCCTCAGTGTCACTCTCCAGTTCTTCTGCTGGTGGCTGGTCGGGGTCCTGGTACAGCAGAGAATCCGCGAAGTAGTTCTCGACGCCTTTAAAAGGGTGTTTGTCGGCCACTACTGTTCTTACCCGCTCGTAGTCACGTTAACACTGTATAGCTATACAGTGTAAACGTAAGCCAGAGGACTATCTACAACAGCATCGCATGCCTTCCTAGGTGCATCACACATTGATCCATCTGAATTGATCATATTCCACGCACCTATGAATCTTAACTATCTTTTTATTGTACAAGCTCATTGAAGGGAGCCAGTTATATTCACCCACGGTTATGGGACATATAGTAGAGACAATGGTAATACATGCTGTAGTCATCGTGTATTCAAGCTTATTTGTTGAGTTTACGGGGTTGTTGATAGGCTTATTTGTTTGTTATAAGGTTGTAGCAAGTTCATTGTAAAAGAAATTATTTTTGGATACATGTTGTTTTGTTAAGTTTAACGATTTATCAAGAAATATTATGGACTCACTGTTAAGGTTATTGACTGGTTGTTAAGTTTACGTGTTTATGGATTGGTTGCTAAGGTTGACTCTTTGTTGTCAGGCTTGTTGATTTATTGTTAAAGTTAGCGCTCTGTTGTCAATTTTTATGTATTGGTTACTAAGGTTAGCTATCTGTTGTTGAACTTGTGGAATCGTAGCTATCTGTAGCTCCTTGTTGTAACGTTTAGCTCTACTGTATAGCTTATTGGTTGAGAAGATCAGGGGGTGAATTGATAAGCTTATGGTTTTGTTGTTTAGATCGTGGATTGGTTGTCAAGCTTATGGATTCCTTAACAATAGGGTTAGCTATCTGTTGTTAAGGTAAGCTGTTAATTGTCAAGCTTATGAATTGGTTGTTAATGTTAGCTATCTGTTGTCAAAACTATGGAATGGTTGCTAACGTTAGCTCCCTGTTGTTAAGGTTAGCTATCTGTTGTATTGGTTGTTAAGGTTAGCTATCCTGTAGCTGACAGGCGAAGGGATGGTGGTGTTGCCGCGTGGAATGTGGGGATAGGTAGGTGTTCAGGTTATATTAACTCACCTCCTTGGGAACTAGGAGGAACATTGAATGCAGTAGCAGAGAATATACGCCGGTGACCGTGACAACCAAACGCTGCTGAATAACAGCAAGGGACCTCTCCACAAGAGGGCGCTAACAATTAATCAATAAACATAACAATTAATCAAAAACTTAACAACCAAAAAAACATAACAATTAATCAAAAACTTGAACATTAAAGTGATAAATTTGACAACCAAAAAAATAACCTTAACAACCAAATCAAAACTTCAACATTAAAGTGATAAACTTGACAACCAAGTAATAACCTTAACTACCAAGTCAAAACGTCAACATTAAAGTGATAAACTTGACAACCAAGTTTATCACCTTAACAACCAAGCTATGACCTTCTCACTTGTAGTGATATACAGGACAACAAATCCATATACATGACAATAAAACGCTAAACTATATAGGCTCGTTACAGCTTGCACGATTGTGACCCTCCATGTTGCATCGAGAGCACTTAACCGGTCGGGTGTTCAGCGACCTGTTGTTTATTCGTCTAGTGCATGGTCTGCCACGTCTTTTTTTGGTGAGAGGAGGCTTCAACACTCGCTCTTCTGGCGGTACAAAGCGCTTCTCGTAATCTGGGATGGGATAGATGATCGGTGCATAGCTTGCTCTGAACGCAACAACAGTCATGTACCAATCGCAATATTGATAAATTTCTCGTCCCATCCATGTAATTGCAGCGCACGCATGTTTGCAGGGAATGCGGGTGATGTCCCAGGACCTGCAAGAACAAGTCCGATTCTTCAAATCTACGCGGCAAGTTTTATTGGACTCGACCTCCACAATATCTTCCGTCGAATGTTTAATCGCCAAGCAGCTACCATGCTGAATGTTATCACTCAGCACCAACTCCGCTTCCGGGCATAGGTATCCAGACCATTTCTGACCCAATAGCCTCCTTTCATGCATGCGCTCCATTATTTGCTTCCGTATGGTCTCAACCAAAGGTAAGATTCGCAACAATCGTGCCTTTCTTATCCAGCTGTTGAAGGACTCAGCAACGTTTGAAGTAACATGGCCATACCTTAACAACAAAGCACTAACAATAACAATAATTCCTTAAACTAAACATTAAAGGCCTAACCTTAACAACAAATATCCTAAACTTAACAGCAAAACCCTAGCAGAATAACTCTAACCATAACAATAAAAATCTAACCTTAACAGAAAACTGTAGGATAACTCTAACCTTAACAACTATAACAGTGCTGTAACAAAATAACGTCGGGACCAAGCTATCTTACCTTATACCAGGAAAATGCGCGTTTGCCCATCTCTCCGGGGAGTATTCCATTACAGTGACATAAGCCCTGTGATCGATCGCTGCCAATTCTTTCATGTCATTATCCCATTCAGATATTGTGAACTTATAAGCCGCAGATTGTAACAGCTCGCCCAACGTAGTCGCGATATTTGCCTTGTGCCCAAAATCCTTCATCTTTTTTTTGAAATTCTCGACTAGATGCAGAACACACCTTGAATGGAATGCATCTGGAAAGAATTCCTCGACTGCTGCCCTGATACCCTTGTCGGCGTCTGAAATCATTACCAGTCGATGTGGAGGTTGGTAAGGATTTTCCCTATCATACAGTAACGTCCATAATCCTTGTAAGAACCATTTCCAGTTAACCTCATTCTCTTGGTCGCATACGCAATAAGCTAGGGGAAATATTCCCTGGTTGCCGTCATACCCAGTAGCGCTAAGTAGTATGCCTCTGTAACGATCTTTAATAAATGTTCCATCCAAAAACAATAGAGGCCTACACCCAGCAATGAACCCTTCAATACAGGCATTATAACTAATGAACAGTCGCCTGAACCTCCCGTCATCAGCATCAATAACAACACGACTCCCTGGATTAGTTGCATGCACCATGGATTCATACCTGCATGAATATAACAACAAAGCAGTACATTTAGCGAAGGATTCATAACCATAACAAATGATCTTCAAACTTCACGACCAACACGTATACTTAACGACGAACCAATAACTTTAACAACTAATACGTATAGTTAGCAACCAACACGTACACTTAACGTCGAACCGCCAACTTTAACAACTACTACGTATAGTTAGCAACCAAAAGGTAAGAGTGATTTCAGAAGAATAAAAAAGATAAGGACCATCTCAGTGAATCGTAAGCCTCATCATCGTCACCGAACAGGTCCTGTTGAGCTGTCTCCTTGCTCCACCACGCTTTACTGTAGTTAATCTTGATGCCAAAATTAGAGAGCATGTCGTTCTTGATATCGACCGCACGAAGATCTGGCCTAACCTTCAAAACAGCTTGTATTTGGCTAGCAATGAACTTCCTTGATGCCCTTGAGTTGCCAGCA